GAACATGACTCACATGGGGTGAGATTGAGCCAGATTTCCAGCAAGGAAAGCAGCTAAGGGGTCTGTGAAGAGAGGTCAGGGCAGGACCGGCCTGTAGGGCCAGCAAAGGCCTTTCCATGGTCATGAGCTGGGGTCTCAGTGTGGGGAAGGGTAGTGACCAGTGACTGCCATTAGGCAGCAGGGCAGAGGAGGACAGGGACGACTGCCAGCGTCTCTCCTAGAGAGAGATTGTTGGATTCTAAGGACGCTCTGTACAGCCGTTCCCGTGGTAATACGTACAGTGCCCGGACACAGACCCAGGTGAGGAGGCCTGGTCCCTCCACGCACGCTCAGGACAAGGTGTCTATCCAAGGAGTGGACTCTGGCCAACAGCTACCACTTGGGCAGTGAACGTGGTGGACGGGTACGACCTCTGCCCGATGTGACAAGGATGGGTGATGTGTGACGAGTGATGAGGATGGGGCTGAGGATGGGGCTGAGCCCGTGGAGGCTGTGCCTTTTGTGCCCACCTCTGAGGCGAGCCCACCCAGGCGAGTGCGGTGCTTCCCAAAACAGGGCAACAGCCAGGGACCACTGTGGGCCTGGGTTCAGTCCAGGCCCTCCGAGAAGTATCAGTCACACTGACGCTGAGGCTGCAGGGACAGGACAGAACAGCTGGGGCAAGGCCCCCAGAAACCTAGGGAAGGGGGGAAGGGGCCTGAGTGCTTCGGGGACCAGGGGCCAGGATTACCTGGACGGAGTCTGTCTGGACACACATCGGAGCCCCTCTGGTCTGATTACTGTCTGTCCCTTGATCCTCAGCTCTCAGGGCACCCCATTCACAAGCAGGGGGACTGGTCACATACAGCCTCTTTGTGAAGACCCCCTTCCTGGGACCTGCGCAGCATCTCACAGCGCCGAGGAGAAAACTGTTAATACTGCATAAGAGTGACGTGCACTGAGCAGAGGACTGGCCAGGGTCAGCACTACCCACACCTCGGGGAGCCCACCACAGCCCAAACTGCCTCAGGGGCCCTTTGTGGGGCCACCTGGTCCAGGCTGTCTCCTGTGCCTCCCAGGGTGACGTCTATCCACAGCCCACCACACTCTTGGGCACTGGGGGTGAGTGAGTGCTTCAGGCCTTGAGTGGCCCATGTGGTCCGGCTTCTGCCAAGCAATAGTCCATAGAGTAGCCCGGGACCCAACATGCTCACCTCCCCTCGGGTCACGGGTCCAGACAGCCTCACGGTCTGCCTGGCCTGGCCCCACCCAAGTAGTGGCATCGGAGACAGGTCTGCGATGCCAGTGTCTTCTATGCTTGGGGTGGAGGGGGGGCACCGCTGTCCTCTCCTCACTGCACCCCGCCACCTGCACCCACTCACGATCCCGAGCATTTCTATTAAAGTTGAATTTTTTTTCTTTTTCTTTCGTGGTGTCTGATGTCTGGGAAGTCTATCGTAATTTTTCATTTTCAAGAAGAGTGTGAATCTGGCTCTTCGCCCCTTAAGGACACGTGTGGTTAATAGGTCCCACCCTGAATTCTGCCTCCTCCCGCCCACACCCTGAGCTGCCCCCAGGAGGCAGAAAAGGAGAGAAATGACTGGAACACATTAGACAAAGTTGAGAGGCTTGCAGGGGTTTGTACGATGGTGCTATGCGCACGCGCAGTGGAGACAAATGGCGCTGTGACGTCACCATCCAGGCCTCCCACCCTGGAGCCGCAACGTCAACGGTCTCAAGTGCTGAAGCAGAGAACTCCGCAAGTGGGCGCTTCCATAAACCAAGGCGATCGCTGAGTTGAGGGGGCGCGGAGTCCAAAGCCAGAGCGTGCCAGTTGTAAGGGAGGCTGTCTCGGCACGGAGACCTACGTTGTCTTGCGATCAAATCTTCCCCCTGGCTCTAGTGGTTCCCAGAGCAGGGATCTGACCCAAGGACGTGCTTGGCTCCCATAGCTTCCAACTAAGACCAGTGGTGCTGCATCCCACCCTAAATATCCTTACAGCTGAATGCCTTTTCACACCAGATCACATTATGGGGTGATCCCATCATTACATCACTGCTAAACCAGAGAATCATAGTATAGCCAAGTTGGCATCACCTTGGGGAGATCTAATTCAAGAAAAAACTTGGAGAGAACCACCCCAGGGTGGGCTCTAAGTCAACTGCTCCCCCCTACCCTCTGTGAGTACGGAAAGGGCGTGGTAGCTGTGGTCTGCCTGGGCTGGTACCACTAGAACATTCTAGAAGCAGTAGCTACATAGCCCTAGATGGTAAGGAAGGCTGCCAGCCTCTGAGCACCCGCATCTCCGGCACCTGACATGAACAGTCACGGAGGGCAAGGGCCTGGGGAGGTACACACCAACTGCTCCCCTTCAGTGGGCTGGACAGTACCTTAAACTTTCAGGACAGCTGCTTCAATCCGGTCTCTGTCCTCTCAAAGCACTTTGGACCTCTTAGTGTCTCAGCACTGTGTCAGTTGCTCTGCGCCCAGTGGTACACCCACTCTACATGAAGTCTGGCCACTTCCACAACGTCCATCAGTCCTGCCAAGTCCATCAGTCAGTGGGAGAAGAGGTACAGATCTGAAGGGGAACCCCGAGGCCAGGAAGTGGGACCAATTCTAAATACAGGGCAGCAAGTTTACTTATGAGTGGCGACTTGTTACAATGGTGGGGAGGGGTCAGCTAATGCTGTCCAGAAAATAAAACCATTGTTCTATATGGAACTATACTCCAACTCTTCAAATAAATCATCTGCCAAATTTTGACATGATTTTTCCAATAAAGCTGATTGCATGAAAAAAAAGGACATTAGAATGGTCTGTCATTACATTTAAAACGTTGTCTGCTGTAAAGCCGCAGAAGGCTGCTTTAGGTTCCCTGTTGCAGAACACACGCTGCAGCTACTCTCCAAGACATGCTCTTGGAACCAGAAAGAAACCGTCTGTGGACGCTGAGGCCTGTGTTTCTTTTTGCAGCTAATTATTTATGAAGGCACCATAGCCAAATACCTCCATTTCGTGATGTGTTGTGAGCGCTGTCCGCTAGACCTGTGGAGTCCTGGGAGGGCACTGTGGGATAGATGCACTGGACTGCAAGGGCGGTTTGAACCTCAAGGTCAGAGCTTGTTTCCTATATAGAAACCCTATACAGGGTCACTATTGACTGCACTTAACAACCATGCCAGTGACTGTGGTCCCGTTTTGAACCCGAGTTGTTAACGAGTAAAGATGCAGGTGGAGTCTTGGCGCGGCGCTGTAGGATAAGCCCTGGACTGCTAACCAGTTTAAGGTTGGCAGTTCAAACCCACCAGCCACTCCTTTGAAAGTCCTATACAGAGTCACTATGAGTGGGAAATGACTCAACAGCACTTAACAAGGAGTAGGGGGCCCCCGACCGTAGAATTGATGCCTTTGAGTTACGGTGTTGGGAGGAGAATATTGAAAGTGCCATGGGCTGCCCATAGAACCAACAGATCTGTGTTGGAAGAAGAGCAGTCAGAGTGCTCCTTGGAGGCCAGGATGGCCAGACTTCGTCTCTCATACATCGGACATATTGTCAGGAGGGACCAATCACTGGAGAAGAATATCATGTTTGATAAGGTGGAGGGTCAGAGAAAGAGGAAGACCCCCAGCGAGATGGATTGGCCAAGTGGCAGCATCAGTGGACTCAAGCGTGGCAACAATAGTGAGGTTGGTCCAGGATTGGGCAGTGTTTCGTTCTGTAGTGCATAAGGTCGCTATGGGTCGGCACCAACTCAATGGCACATCACAACAGGAACAACAAGGGGGCCCCACCTCACTGGAGGATGTGACTCAAGTCGCTACCACTTTCCCTTGCAGGCATGGTCCGATTCCACTTTCTAACACGGTTTTGGACCGACTCTCACTGTTGCCCTAAAACTTGCATCTGGCTCAGTATGCCTGATGTCCAGTTCATGGGATGCTCAACTCATCACCTGATCAGCTCCCGTACCTCGTACAAGCCTGGGGTCTGAGCTGCTGAGCTGGACGCTTCCGCTTTGAAGACTGTGTGGGTGAGAAGATTCCTCCCGAATAATCTGACTGGATTTGGGGGCTGCTCCACAATCAGAACCTGGGACTTGAGGAGGGGAGCAATGGTGACTGGTAACAAGTTCTGTGGAAGGTTGGACATGTCAGAAAAGTTGAACAGCTGGGACCAACACTGCTATCTAGAAGGCCTTACTCATGTACTTTTTACTCTCACTCACAGCTGCACAAGCTCATGGACCCCGCTCGGCTCGGCTCCAGGAACGGGAGTGGGTGCAGGGGTACAGATACAGACGAGCTCAGTTCCGGGACCCCGTGAGGTCAGAAAAACAGGAACTCACATACCAGTGATTCTTTCTCGCCTCTAAAAAGCACTCACCACGTACCTCGGCTGAAGCAAACTAGAGAACTGTGCTTCACGGCTGCCGCCCAGCAGCCAGCCAACCCGGCTCCATCCGCCTGTCAGCTCCTCTGAGCTGCCGGGAGCTGCACCTCACAGCTGGGGGACAACTACCGTATGCACGAGGGACTGAGGAGGAGTACCCACTGCAGCCACCAGGCACATGATGAACCCTAGTTACGGCCAGCGGTGTGTCCCTCCATCTCATCACCAATTTCTGCTTTAGATTGAAGGCCCAGAGGTACATGCAGCCAAACCACTTTTGTTCTAGACTCAGCTTTAATCTTCACATTTCCTTCCAGCACCAGTTTGTACCCACCTCAGCAAGCCCGAGTCCTTGGTGGTAGGTGGGGGCACCCTCAGAACAGGGTCAGCCATGGACAGAACGGGACCCCTCAAGAGTGGCCAGTGGCCAGGATTCCCAAGTAAACAACAGCTTGACCTTCACCTGCAGGGACAGACTGGCTGGCGTTGACACATAATAGGCATGGGTTAGACCCTCCAAAATTGATGTCCAAGTTCAGAGAGCAGGAGCCCACCTTCCCAGGACTCTCAGGACCAGAGCACCAGTGTCCACCCCGACTGCACCCATGACGGGACGCACCCACAAGTCAAAGCAGAAATTGCAATACGTCTATGCCCACACAGTTGACTGAGCAGAGACGTGGAGCTTGTAAAAAAAAAAAAATCTCCTTTTTAAACCTTAAAAAAGTGAAGTACACCCACTGCAATAGTTGAAGCTATAAAAGTTCCTAATGTAGCAGCGGAAGGTATTTATAGAAAAAATATACTTTTAAGAAAATAGCTGAAAAAATCTAAAGAGATAACAAGTATAAAAAGTTAAAAAATATATCTTAAGACAAAATATTGCCCCAAACCTATCAACTTAATATTTAAAACTCCACCTGTTTAAAGGGGTGAGGTGGGGTGCAGCCTTTGGTGTGTCATGGATGCAGAGGGGCTGCACCCAGGTGGGGGACTTCACAACTGGCCTAGAAATGGAGGTTGGAGGTGGACACCCGATGGCCACTGCCCTGCAGGCCGGCATGGACGCCAGGACCTGGCCAACGACAAGCTGGTCAGGACACTGCCATGATGACCAGGCTGACCGAAAGGGCTAGCATGTGGTTGCAGAGTGGTGAGAAGATCCCTCACAGGCATCCGAGAGGCCACGTGGGACCCCGCCTCAAGTCTCCACCAGGATCTCCACAATGTGGTCCAGCTCCCCCAGGTCGGCCTTGCAGCTGGGGCCGGGCGGCGCAGCGGTCAGGGGCGCCAGGCCCTCGAGTGTGTCGCAGGGGCCAGCCCTGGCGCCGCCCATCATGCCTGTCAGTACCGCGTCCAGGTCGTAATAGGAGCTGTCGACGTCCGACAAGAGGTCCTCCATGGAGCCGGGGCTTTTACTGTCCAAGGTCTCAAAGATCTGATCCAGAGACTTCTGGAAGCTTCCCCGGCTCTCCCGAGAGCTGTCCAGGTCCCACACGCTGCTGGGGGCGTGTCTGGGCGCCGGAGCCGGCATGCTGGACGTAAGGTCAGAGGTCATGTCTGGAGCAGGGCCGTCTTCAAAGCCTTTAGGGAAGCTGCTGTCGCCGCCGGGGCCAGGCCTGCTCCTCTCCTGGGCTGAGCGGCACAGGATGTCCGTGGAGACGAGGCGGTCGTGAGGAGGCGCGGGCCCTACACCCTGGGGAGCGGCCACCCGCCAGGTCCCGTCCTGGCTCATTTCCTGTTGGATCTGCCGAACGGTGTTAGCAATGAGCACCGAGCGGCAGAGGTTGGGTTCCACCAGCATGTGGCACAACTGCAGCTTCACCAGGGACATATCCAGCAGGGACTGTCGCTGCAGGTCATAGGAGGGGACAGCCCGAAAGCCGGCCACAGGCCCGTCCACCTCTTCCTCCGTGTCACATTTCCTCTTGAGTCCTCTTGCAAACATGGTGTCCTGTTGGGAACCAGTAAGAGGCCACTTAGTGTGGTGTAGACCCAGCCTTCAGTCCCCAGGGAGAGGAGGGAAGGGCAGCGGAAGGACTCCTGTCTAGTCAACACCAGAGCCAGGTCTATGCTAATTGGCGTTTTCATCACAAAAGGGAAAATGCACCACTCCCCGGTGGGAGGACGCCCCCACGGCTTAGCTGCTGGACAGGACACTCTGCTGAACAGTGACCACTGGGTCCAATTCCTCCACCTCCTCTCTGCGTGGTGGCCCCGCCGCACAGAAAGAACACAGCCAAGAAAGCTGCTCTCAGAGCCCCGGAGCTGCTAGGGGACAATGCACATCCCTGGTTTTCCAGGAGACCCCAATTTAAAGACCAATAACCTACATACAGCCCACCTAACAGCCTGCCCCCCCCACCCCCGACCTTCTTCACAGTCATCCTTGAAGTGCTGGCCCTCTCACAGAGGCCAACCACAGGGATGTGGGCAGCCAAGGGCAGCAGACAAAGCAAAGGCGAAGTCTGCCCTCAGCCACCTCTAGCAGAATCCGAGATTCCAGAAGAAAAGGGTCCAATCTGATTTTCACGGGATCTCCTGGAAGGTGACCTTCAGGATCTGACACACAGGTCTGTCTCCCTTTATGACTTTTGAATGTTGTTGTTGTTAAGTGCTGACGAGTTGATTCTGACCCATAGCGACCCTGTATAGGGTTTCTGAGGAGCAGCTGCTGAGCTTGAACCACCGACCTAGCAACTTTGCAGTCCAGCACATTAACCCATAGCGCCACCCCCGATTCACAGGGACCTGGTTTCCTTATTCACTTTCCAACTTTCAAATGTATATGACGTGACTGTACTAAGGCGAGTGTTAGTCCTCTAAGTGATGAAGCACTTTGGGTGGGGGTGAGGGTTAAGGGAGGGAAATCTACAAACCCTCCTCTGGAGTCGGCTAGAGGCACTTACTCATCTATGCCAAGACATCTGAAACACAGCTCCCTGGCCAACTGACTGGAAAAGATCCATATTTGTGCCCATTCCAAAGAAAGGTGACTCAACAGAATGTGGAAATCACTAAACAACATTACTGATATGACACGGAAGTAAAAGTTTGTTGAAGATCATTTTAAAATGGCTGCCACAGTACACTGACAGGTTGTTGTTGTTGTTGTTGTTAAGTGCCATCGAGTCGGTTCCGACCCATAGCGACCCTGTACAGGGTTTCCGAGGGTGTAAATCTTTACGGGAGTAGAAAGCCTCATCTTTCTCCCGCGGAGCGGCTGGTAGTTTCGAACCGCTGACCTTAAGGTTCGCAGCCCGATTCGTAGCCACTACGCTACCAGAGCTCCAGCTGGTTTCAGATGAGACGGGGAACTAGGAATCTCAATACTGAAGTCGGATGGATCCTGGCTGAAGGAAGTGAATACCAAGAGATGTTTACCTGTGCTTTACTGACAATGCAAAGGCGCTTGATACTATGGATCATGATAAGTTATGGACAACATTGCGGACAACGAGTGTTCTGGAACACCTGCACACAGATCAAAAGGCAGTCGTCCAACAGAACCAGGAAACACTGAATGGTTTAAAATTAGGAAAGGTGTGCATCAAGGTTGAATTATTTCACCATGTCCAGTTTGTATGCTGAGCAAATGATCCAAGAAGCTGGATTCTACGAAGAAGAATGTGGCATCATTAACAAGATATGACATGCAGATGATACAACCTTGCTTGCTGAAAGTGAATAAGACTTAATAAACTACTTATGGATGAAGAGCAAAGAGCACAGCCTTTGAGATGGGTTCCACCTCAATATAAAGAAAACCCAAATCCTCACCGCTGGTGAGGCAAAAAGACTGAGTTGTTAAAGCCTTCATTTTGCTTGGATCCACTTTTAACACTCATGGAAGCAGCAGTCAAGAAATGAGACCTATAGCATTAGGCATTTAAAGCCTTAGAAACCCTATATGCAGGGATGCTGAGTCAGAACTGACTCAACGGCAATTAACAACAAAACAACAAAACATTAGGCAAATCTGCTGCACAAGACCTCTTTAAAGGGTTCAGCACGAAGACTTCAGTTTGAGGAGTGGGCTGCACCTGAGCCAAGTCATGGGTATTTTTAATAGTCTCCTATTCATGTGAAAGTTACACAACGAATCAAGAAGACCATAGAAGAATTGATGCATCTGAGTTACAGTGTCAGAGAAGAATATTAAAAGTGTCACGGACAAATTTGTATTAGAAGCCAGGATGGAGAGACTTCATCTCTCATACTTCGGAAATATTATCAGGAGGGACCGGTCCCTGGAGAAGGACATTATGCTTGGTAAAGTGGAGGGTCAGCAAACACGAGGAAGACCCCCAAGGAGATGGACTGGCCCAGTGGCAGCAGCAACAGGCTCAAGCTTGACGACTGTGAGGCTGGAGCAGGAACGGGACACAGCTTGTTCTGTTTTGCATGAGGTCCCTGTGAGTCGGCACCAGCTCGATGGCACACAACTGTAAATGGGAATATAGTAGTAATATTAGCTGGTCTTCCTTGTAGGTGTGTGGATATTACCTTATCACAGACAGCATTCTACTTCAAGATGAATCTTGAAATGTTCTTTTTGACAATGAATGTGATACCACTCCTCTTTGTCATTCCCGGAATAGCAAACCATGTGATTGTGATTGTCAGATTCAAAATGGCCAGCAGCCGCGCACTGCAGCTCACTAATGCCTAGGAGAGCCATCTGGATGCGTTCCATTGCATTGTTTACTGGAGACTTGGTACACGTCACATTCTGATTATGGCTTGATTGTTGCAGCTGTTTCTTCTCATTCTGAGTTGTGCCCTTTCCGCAAATGGAGGTCACAAAACCTTTATCCCAACTACTCGATTTTCAGGAGGCAGCTCTTCCCCATCGTACACTGAGTCCCTTCCCACCTGAGGGGTTCATCTATCCTGACGCTGCGGCTCTTCCTAAGGGTTCAGAGGCTGAGCCCTGAGCAGTGGCCTGCCCCTCCGGTGTCCTAGCCCTCTGGTCTGGAAGCTTTGCTGAAACCTGCCCACCATGGGTGATGCGGCTTCCAGCATCACAGCCACACACGAGCCACCCCAGAATGACCCAGTGACAGACACGTGGTGGATCCTGAACACTGGTGCTGTTGTTTAGTGCCGTCAGGTGGGTAGGGCTCATGGCCATCCTGTACAGGGTTTCTGAGGAGCAGGTGGTGGATTTGAACCACTGACCTTTTGGTCAGCAGTCCAGTGCTACTCCTACAGAATCACACAAGGATGTTGTTGTGGTGGTGAAGTGCCATCGAATTGGTTCTGACTCACAGCGACGCTGTGTAGGGCTTCTGAGGAGCAGCTGTTGGGTTTGAACTGCCAACCTTTAGGTTAAGACTCTAGTACTAATTCCACAGCGCCACACTAATATTGTTGTTGAATGCCGTTGAGATGGTTCCGACCCTTTAGTGAAACTGTATAGTTTCCAAGGAGCAGCTGGTAAGCTTGAACCACTGACCTTGAGGTTCAAACCAACTTTGCAGTCCAGCGCCTTAACCCACAGCACCACCCCAGGGCTCCCACCCTGTATACCTGACGTCTACTAGGAACTCCACTCAACCTTTCCCAAGCTGAAAGAAAGAATTGAAGAAAACGTCAAGCCTTGACTTAGAATATCCAAAGATTCTATAGGCAAAATACTAAATGGAATTCGGAAAAGAATGCACAGCCACTGTCTGCTCAGTCATTTCAAGGTACCAGATGATCAAGAATCGACGGTCTCGAAGGAAGAAAGCTAAGCGGCACCGAAACCACTGGCCCAAAACCAGGTGCCAGGAACCGACAGGATACAAATGGAAATGTTCCCACAAACTGATGCAGCATTGGAGGCGCTCACTCATCTAGGCCAAGCAATTTGGAAGACAGCTACCTGGCCAAGCGATTGGAAGAGATCCATATTGTGCCCGTTTCTACAGAATGCGGAAATAAGTCATCACGAGATATCACTGTTGACGTCAGATGGATCTTAGCTGGAAGCAGAGAATGACAGAAAGAGGCTTCCTTGTGCTTTATTGACCACGCAGCTAACACAGAACACAGAGGAATGAGCAGTCCACGACACTTCACTGTGCTCATGGGGAACCTGTAGACAGACAAGAGGCAGTCGTTTGAGCAGAACCAGGGAACAGAGTGCTTTAAAGTCAAGAAAGGTGTGCCCCACGGCTGTATGCTTTTGTCCTACTGTTCTAGCTTTACGCTGAATAAATAATCCAAGAAACTGGATTACGTGATGAAGAACGTGGCACCAGGATTGGAGGAAGACTTATTAACAACCTTTAATGGGCAGATGACACAACCTTGCTTGCTTAAAGCAAAAAAGGTCTTAAAATGCCTACTGGTGAAGATCCTAGAGCACAGCCTTCAGTATGGATTACACCTCAATGTAAAGAAACAAGGAAATCCTCACAACTGGACCATTATCAGGATAAATGGAGAAAAAAACTGAACTTGTTAAAGACTTTGATTTGCTTTGATCTACAAACACTCAGGAATGACGCATTGCATAATGACGCATTGCATAAGGCAGATCTGCTGCATCTGACTTCGTTAGTTCAAGAGCAAAGGCAGCACCTGCAGGACTGAGGTGCGCCTGATCCAAGCCCTGGTATTTTCAGTCACCTCATATGCATGGGAAGTGGGACAGTGAAGAAGGAAGACAGGAGAAGAGGCAATGCGTCTGAACTACGGTGTTGGCGAGGAGTATTCTGAGATCCATGGATTGCCAGGAGAACAAATATGTCTTCAAAGAAGTACAACCAGATGATCCTTAGAAGTCAGGAGGACAAGACTTTTTCTCATACTTTGGACATATTACTAGTAGGGACGGTCCCTAGAGAAGAACATCATGCTTGGAGAAATGAAGGATCGGCGACAAAGAGGAAGCCCCCAGGCGGGATGGACACCATGGAAGCAGTAATGGACCCAACGACAGTTGTGAGGAGGGCGGGG